ATTTCATACAACACATTTCGAAGAAGGCCCTTCTATTACAGGGTGCCTTTCTGTCTTTCCAAGCCTTTCTCGGAGTGTCTTCTATTAGAGGGACTCTTCTATTATACTGGCCCTTCTAATACAAGTTTTACGGTATATCTATTTTCATTGATTTTCGGCGACTTCTTCTGAATTTCCCTTAAAAATCAGAAAGTTTGATAGTGATAAAATTGGCTGAAAAAAAAAGAAATGTGATGGAACGGAGTTTGACTACTGTAGATTACTGTAGAAACCCTTGTATTTTAAGGTTTTTTTGCAACCAAATTCTGCATTTTACGTGATTGTGTATGCAAAAAAGTCAACAAAGGGAAATTAGATTTCTACAGTAATCTACAGTAATCAAGCTCCATTCTATCGAATTTCAGACAACAACAATCAGAAAATCGAAAAGTAACTTTTGAAAATAGCTGAAAAACATTTTAAAAAGTCTAATATTTTTTGAAAATTCGAAGAAAAAATCAATTTTTTTTCTCAAAAACATTTTTTCGAAACTTCAAAAATTTTTGATTTTTTTTCCCGATTTCTAAAAAAATCAGAAATTCAGAAAATCTGTTTTCCAAAAAAAATCGTAAAATGTTTCTATATTCTGGTGTTACAAGTTCCTGTTTATACCCTTTCAAAATGCCCAAAACTTTGAATTTCTTAAATTTTGCAATCTCCAGAACCCTTGCCTCCTGTACCAGGAGTCCTGGTGTTGTAATTTTCCGTATCCAGACGCTCCGGAATTTTAAAATACTCAAAACTTATCGAATCCATTACCCCTTTCTTCCTGAATTTTATTAATCCAAACGCTATTTTTGATCCAAAAGATTTTCAGATTTTGAAGAATTTTCAGATTCAAAAATCACAATTTTTCAAGACTTCAAAGTTTTAGGAATTCTTAAAAATCCCAAAGCTAATTCCGATTCTGGAACTCTCAAATATCAAGATTCTTCATTTTTTTGAATTTTGAAACTCGTGTCCCAGGTTTTAAAATTTTGAGATTCTACCAAATGTTCATATATCATATCTTCCTTATATATAAAACGCTAGAGGCGTCTGTCCGGTCCGTCCCGATGTCTACAAACTATCTAATATAATGCCATTCCTAATTTTCAGCTTTGACTATCTGTAATAGAAAGATCCCAAAATTGTGACCCAATTTATCTCGGTTCCTGTAAAAAATAACGAAAGTCTACCAACTGATAAAAGATTTCTGATAGTATGATAAGCATTTTGTTAGTTAACCAATTGTTCATATCTCTCACGGGAAGCGGATAAATTGGCTCAAAATCAGAAGTTGGGAGGCCCTTCTATTAAAGGTCTTACGGTTACTCCTGTCCAGACATGAGCGGAATTCCTTATTCCTTATTCCTTATTCCGGGTGTTTTTTCTATTCCTTATTCCTTATTCCTTCTTCCGGATTTTAAATTTTTCATTCCTTATTCCTTATTCCTTCTTCCGAGTTTTTTAATTTTGTTCCTTATTCCTTCTTCCTTCTTCCTGATTTTTTTGTTATTCCTTTACAAAACTTTAAAACTTTTTCTATCAAAAATCAGAAAAAAATTCTCAAAACTGGGAAAAAAATTTGAACGCTCTAAATAGTTTGTCAGTTGGCGTAACATTATGTTCAGCGGAGAACCTTTGCACCGTTTTTCGAAATTTTTTTTTTGAAATCTTGGAAAGTTATGAGTTTTTCGCAGTGTTTTTTTCGAAATAAATTTGGTTTTTACAATTACTACTTCAGAAAAAATGCTAAAAAAACAGAGCAAGTTTGACGAATTCTTCGTCAGAATAGAAAAGGAGTGTATCGGGCCTCATCTGTACCCAGAAAAGAAGCCGATTGAATTACGACACTGTTGACAAATTAACTTTTTGTTCACTCAATTTGAAAAATTATGACCTTAAAAACTGATAATTCACAATTATGATTTAGTTTTTTAGTTTTTTATTTTCTAGTTTGAAAGTTCCTCTCCATTTTTCTTATTTGTGTCTCGGTTTGTGAGTTCTCTCTTCGTTTTTCGTGTTTTAAAATAAACAGTGTTTTTCAAGACAAAAAGAAATCTTCCTTCGTTCGGAAATTCTTTCGTTGTTACTTATTCCTTATTCCTTATTCCGGGTGTTTTTTTCTATTCCTTCTTCCTTATTCCTTATTCCGGATTTTTAAATTGTTATTCCTTATTCCTTATTCCTGATTTTCAAAATTTTTATTCCGCTCATGTCTGCTCCTGTCCCAGATTTTCTAATTCTGATAATATCAAGTTTTGATATACCTAGATCTTTAAATAATCTTTAAAAACAATAGAACAACACACAAGCTACATCACTTTATTGTAATTGTGACAATAAAAAAGGCTGAATCGGTTTCCAGAAGCTTCTACTCGCTATCGAACATACCACCTTCCTCATCATGTTTGCTACTGACAGCGTGACTCTTCGTAACAACTAGTTTCAATTCATCTCCCTCCGGAACATCACTGGTGATCTTCATTTCAGTTGAAGCTGTCTAAAAATGGATGTCTGTAGATGTACAAAGAAGTTCCCCCTACCGAAATACTAATATTACTTTCCGCTGATTCACTTGTTTTATCATTTGTCTTTCTTTTTCGAACATCTGATGATAGAATACTCGGAGTATTGAGTTTTTTGAGAACAATAAAATGCATATTACTAGCTTCTCGTCCAATTTCAATCACATCTTTTGCCATTTCAACATCAGCATCGTCACATGTGATCGATTCGATATATTTCTGCATTTCTTTTGCCAAACTCAATTGAATTGGTCGTTCAACCAAAAATGAAACTTTTCTGCCAGTTGAAAGTTTCGCAAGATTTTCTCGAATAAAAGTTTCAGCTGTTCCGTCTAAGGGTGGAACTGGTGTACCATCCATGTCGACAATACTATCTCCACGACCGATGAATGAAGCTGTTATTGTGTTTGGATCCGACTGAAAACTTAAATTTCTGTGTATCTGTGTCCGCATGTCCTTTATACCTTTACCACAAACCCACGTTTCTTCATGATACTCAACTTCATGCCAATTGCAGTGGTAGTCATGTTTGATGGCTGAAAATTAATGGTTTTCTTTTTTCTACAGTAATTTTTTCTACAGTAATTTACCCTCTCAACTTCCACAGCAAAGACTGCATATCCCTTTTTCACAACTGGTAATGACTTGTGCAATCTCTCTTTTGTCACCGGAAATGCTCCTTTTCGTCTCAGGACCTCAACTTGACACGTTTCTCCTCTCATCAATTCCGCCTGACATTTCGCGGCTTTTCCAGAAATGTCGTTCACTTTTATGATCTTGTCGCCTGGAAAAATGTTGTTTTTTTAAATGACCCAATATGCTATTTTTCTTCTTAAACGAACTCCGACCCAAATGTCTTTATTGCATTAAAATATTTTAAAAGTTACCGTATTTCTTCTAATAAAACCATCGATTAAGCTTTAAGCTCGATTAACTCGTTTCCTGTGAAAGCTATAAAAATTTTGACACTCTTTTGATATCTTTCACAGAAATCGAGATAATTGAGCCTAAAGTTGAAGAATTGGGTGGGCTCCTGGTAGAGGAAATATGGCATCTATTTTCCCCATATTACTTAGCAATTCAAAAAAAAATGAAAAATAAATATCTCGAAATTCCATTTGAATATGCCCCTCGAGAAGTTGAACTTGTCGGGCGAGTATTGAGGGTGCGGCGCCGCTACCGACTGAGCCACACGGGAAAAAGTGGAGCGGGGGCCCGATGGTAAACATAAGGGTGAAGACGACAGCTCCACGCAGAGTGACATTAAGCGTTGTACACCGTAACGGTAGAATGCATAACCTAACTCCAAAAAAAACTCTGATAATCTCCTGTCCCCCCACCTTTAATGGAATACAAATTTTTGGTCACAGTCCCCCTTTCCATACATACCCATAATCAATCCATTGGCATAAGAATTCGTGGAAATGAAGGAAATCATCATGTCGTCGTCAATCTTGATTACATCATTCGGAGGTTTTCCAACATCCGAAGCGGCGATTTTAAAGGAAAGTGCGACTTTTTGAGTTGGCACGTTGGATGGAATCGGTGTCAGCCAGAGATTTTTCTTTTTTGACATCTTCTGAAGGCGAGGAAAGTTGTCTTTGGTCAGAAGAAGGAGAGTTTCACACTTACAAACGAGTTTTTTGTTCGAAATTCACGTTTTTTGAGTTGAGTCCGTTGGAAAGTGATTTAGGTTTTTCAGGAGTCATGTCTGCGATCTCACGGGGATTTCTTCGGATTTTTTCTGGATTTTTCACGGGAAAATTTAAATTCTAGCGACCTAGATGTTATATTGGTACAAAAATCGGAGCCGGTGCTGTCGCCGAAGGTCCCACAACGACAACTACCGTAACCTAAAATTTTTTTTCGGATTTGTTTTCTCGTTTTTCACTGGTTTTATTTCTGATATTGGCTGAATTCAAATATGACCCCCACCTATTCAAAAATAGCCCCCCCAAAACGAACCAAAGTAGAACCCCCCACCTGCAACAATCTAGACACTTGCAGCAGTTCAAAAAAGCCTCCCACCAATTAAAATATAGACCCCCACTTTTAAATGGTCCATTCCAATTCAAAACAAGCCCCCCACCCATTCAATTATAGACCGCCACTTTTGCGTAGTTTGTGGTGTGTGTGAAGGGTACCGTCATGATGCAAATTTTGAGCTTTTGTTTTAAATTTTTCTTTGATTTTTCCGGAATTTGTGTCATTTTTCACCCTTTTTCCTTGTTTCTTGGGAACTTTTTCTGAAAAATACTTGTCAGCTATGTATATCCTATCAGAACTTCCAAAATTAAAACATTCTAAAATTCAGGCTTAGGCGAAAAAAATGATGGGGACCTATTTTTGAATGGGTGGGGAGCAATTTTTGAATTGAGTGGGGGGGGGGGGGCTCAGATAAGGTTCCCTTTTTGGGGGGCTATTTTTGAATGGTTGGGGGCCTTTAATTGAAGAAGGCAGGGAGGGATGGGGGCCATATTTTAAGAATACCTCAACCAATTCAACAAAAGCCCCCCACGTCGTTGGAACCTTCGGCAACGGCAACCGTTTTTTCTTTTCCACAGACAAATGAAAGGATTAAAATCATCAATTTAAAGCTAAAAATAACAAATTTTAGCATGAAAATTCGGAATTTTAGACTTAAAACAATCAATTTTAGCCTAAAAACAACCTATTTTGGGGTGAAAATTAACGGTTTTGGCACCAGAATAAATAATTGTTTACTCTTTCAACTTTTTTCCTTGGATTTTTGTTGGTTGTTCAGCTTTCGCTCCCATCCAGCTTCTTCTTTTTCTCTTCTCTCTATTTCTCTGTTCCTCTGTTCTCTTTTCTGCTTCTTCTTTTCCCTTCTGCTCCCTTTTTTACAACCCGTTTGTTGTTTTTTCTGCTAGATTTCCATCTTCTCCCTCTTCATTTTTCGACCCGCTTTTCGATTTGACAACAAGATTAGAGCGCCTATAAAAAGTAACCGATAGAAACTGAGAAATTCCCTATTTTCCTAGTTTGTTTGCAATGCCTGTAGATCCTTTTTGTGTCATAAAAATTCAATGATCTTTTCGTTGAAAAAGATGGGCGGGCGGCATGACAAGTGATAAGAACAACGACCACGAGGAGAAGGGCAAGATTCGGGGGATCATTAAAAGTTGAAGGTTGCAATTCCTTATCATGTTCTGTCTATATCATCAGTGATAAGAAAGACCTGTCAGTATACTATTTCGTCGAAGTGAATTCTGTAGTTGGTCAGTTTTTATGGGAACCGAGAGCAAACAAGCAAACAGTTTTATTATCTGGAGCTGGTAATTAAACTGTAATTAAATTGTTTGTGAGGGGCTCTTTTAGTGTCGACTAAAGTATGAAAATTAGGTCATTTTGTAATTGAATAAAACCTTTTTCCTGGAAAAACTCTGTTGGTTACTGTAGAATTCCCTTTCGTTGCGAGACTAAAATAATTTATTGAGCATGCGCCTTTAAACGTACAGTAGTATTTTTTCTTTTTTGAAAAAGTTTCTATTTTGGAAAATTTACTTTTTCGACATAAATTTCGATACAAATTTTAAACATTTGTTTCCTCAGCCACATTATCACAGATTAAGCTCAAATTCGTTTTCTAAATATTTCATTTTCAACCTATAGCTTTTAGGATTACGGTTTTCGTGGCGAGGCTTTGTAAACAAATTCCCCCTGCTGCGCCTTGATTTCTTGTGTGGATTTACGAGCGACGTTCTTTTCTTTTCTAGGTTATCTTTCTTTCCCATGAAGTACTTCAAACTTTACATTTTTTTACTTTGCTTTTTGATTTTTCATCCAAAAAATTGTCTAGGGGGGACTCCGACCAAAAATTTTTATTGCATTAAAGGTGGGGGGACAGGAGATTTTTCGTAGTTTTTTTGTAGCTAGAGTATGCATTCTACCGTCACGGTGTACAACGCTTAATGTCACTCTGCGTACACCTGTCGTCCTCGCCTTTATGTATGCAATCGGGCGTGCGCTTTCTCTTTGCCCGCGTGGCTCAGTCGGTAGCGGCGCCGCACCCTCAATCATCGCCCTCACAAGTTCAACTCCTCGAGGGGCATCTTTGAACGGAATTTCGAGAACATTATTTTTTCATGTCCCCCCACCTTTAAATTGTTCGAAAAGTTGTCTATTTTCCCAATATTATAGCGAAAAAATTCGAAAAAAATGCGGTTAAAAGCGAAAAATTTTCAAAAAAAAGTTGCTAGGAGGGACGAGGATTTGAATTCCCACGCAGTAAGAAACCTAGGCCACGGCGCCTGACAGCCGTTTTTTCAAGTGGCCGACAGTGGTTTTTTACGTTTTTTACCTGCCGGACATGAACACCGAAAAAAACCGGAAAAATTTCCATGTAAGAAAGGCGCTATGATGCCGTGGCCTAGGTTTCTCACTGTGCGGGAATTCAAATCCTATTTTTAACGCCGTTTTTCGGGGATTTAGGATTTTTTTTGAAATTTTTCGCAATAATATTAGGAAAATACATATTTTTTGAAACATTTTAAGGCAATAAAAATTTTTGGTCGGAGTCCCCCTTTAACTACTTTTGTGTGCAACAGTTATTATGCTTGTCTGAGAAAAAAAAAAGGTTAGAGAGTATTTTTTGCAGTCTGAATACGGTAGCGATATCGAAGCGGAGAGCCTAAATAGCACACAAACGGTGGAGACGCAGGCACTTTTTCTCTCCGTCTCAACCTTTTTTTTCTCAGACAAGCATAATATTGAGTCAAAATCGCTTTCAAAATACGTGGCGAGACTCCATTAACAAATTCGTCTGCTGTGCCTTGAATTCTGGTGTGGATTTACGATGTTCTTTTCTTTTTTCAAAAATAGCCTTTTTTTAGGTCCTTTTTCTTTTTTTTTAGGTCACGTGTTTTCCAATAAAGTACTTTAAAATTACATCACTTGTCGGTGTCTAATCTGCCCCGCCTCCTTGTCTTTCCCATCTCTTGATCGCTCTCTAACACAGGTATTACCACATTGATCATTCTCTCTTATCAATCTTTACCTTTTATCTGTCTAATTTCACCCAATTTTCATCTGCAGAATGCTATCCTCTCTTCGCCGCATCGTCCCAACTTTGCCACGTGGCTCCCGGTCTCTGACTTCTCAACAGATTTTCGATAGAGAGAAGAAGTTCGGATGTCACAACTACAAACCACTTCCAGTTGCACTTTCGAAAGGAGAGGGATGCTTCGTTTGGGATGTCGAAGGAAAGAAATACTTTGATTTCTTGGCCGCCTATTCAGCTGTCAATCAAGGACATTGCCACCCAAAACTTCTCAAAGTGGTCCAGGATCAAGCATCCACTCTGACTCTTACCTCCCGTGCTTTCTACAATAATGTGCTTGGAGAATACGAGGAATACATCACAAAACTATTCAAGTATGATAAGGTTCTTCCAATGAATACTGGAGTCGAAGCTTGCGAATCAGCTGTCAAGCTAGCTAGACGATGGGCTTATGATGTCAAAGGAGTCAAGGAGAATGATGCCGTTGTTGTGTTCGCTGAGAATAATTTCTGGGGACGGTCCATTGCTGCTATTTCTGCATCCACTGATCCAGACTCGTATGCTCGATTCGGACCATTCGTCCCCGGATTCAAAACAGTGCCATACAACAATTTGAAAGCTGTCGAGGAGGCTGTTTCCGATAAGAATGTCGCCGCTTTTATGGTTGAGCCAATTCAAGGAGAAGCTGGAGTCGTGCTCCCAGATGCTGGATATTTAAAGGGTGTCGCTGACATTTGCAAGAAGCACAACGTGCTTTTCATCACTGATGAAGTGCAAACTGGTTTGGGAAGAACTGGAAAGTGAGTGGTGACTTCGAAATTAGGCGCTATGTCGGTTTTCGTTGATTTTCGCGAATTTCAGTACATTTTTCACCGAAATTTTTTTGTTTCAAGTTATAGTCTTAGACTGAAACGACTTGTTTCCCTGCCACTGGGGCGTCCGAAAAATTGCGCCGAATTCAAAAAATTTGGGTGCCCCTCCCCCCACCAACATAGCGCCACCGAATTTGTGGATTTGCGCGTCAAAATGGCATGAAATGTTTGCGTACGCAAACACTCTGATATGCTGACGCGCAAATGCACAAATTCGATCAGCTCGGCCGGCAAAAATTGAAAAAAAAACAAATTTTCAGACTCCTGGCTCACTATCACGATAACGTCCGACCAGACATCGTTGTTCTCGGCAAAGCGCTATCCGGAGGCTTCTATCCAGTGTCTGCCGTGCTTTGCGATGACGCTGTCATGATGAATATCAAGCCAGGAGAGCACGGATCCACATACGGCGGAAACCCATTGGCTTGCAAGGTGGCTATTGCTGCTTTGGAGGTAATCGACCTAATTTTGAACCGTAAAATGATTCGAATGCCGAAATTTCAGATTCTTCAAGAAGAGAAACTCGTTGAGAACTCCGCCAAGATGGGAGAAGTGCTGATGAACAAGTTGAAGACGTTGCCAAAGGACGTTGTATCTCTTGTCAGAGGAAAAGGACTTTTCTGCGCCATCGTTATCAATAGCAGTGCGTTTTTGAAACAACATCAAACATCAAGATCACCTATAAATCTTTCAGAATACGATGCCTGGAAAGTGTGTTTGAAACTGAAAGAGAATGGACTCCTCGCCAAGAACACCCATGGAGACATCATCCGATTCGCCCCGCCCCTTTGTATCAACCAAGAGCAAGTCGAGCAGGCAGCTGATATCATTATCAAGACGATCACCGAATTCGCCAAGCAACATTAATAATCAGATTATTGTATTTCTTTAATTGTTCTCACGATCCAGATGCTGGTACATTTATAGCATTCGACAGTTTTTGACTGAACTCTTTCTATTGCGTATCGCAAATTGTACTTTTAATAAACTTCTTTTTTCTTTATCATTTCAAGGTCAAGAAATCAATTTTTCATGAATTTTTTTAATCGAAATGATAACGATTCATCGGTCGCAGAATTGGAACGAGAGGAACAGGTCTGCAGAAGAATATCCGTTAGTTTTTTATAATTTTCTCTAATCCTCTCAAAAACCCATAATCTCTCGGTGATAACGATGCCGGGTACCTGCCGCCGACATCCACTAAATTCGGTTTAAAAAGAGCGAGCGAAATGAGAAATCCTTCAACATTTCTCCAATTTCCATAGGAGATGTTCATTTCTACAATTCTACCTCATATTTTTTTAAACATTTTCTAAATAATTCTATATATTTTGTCTACTGCCTCATGTCGAGCTTATTCTGGAATCTTCTGTCCCTTCCGTCCAGCCATTCCTTGTGTCATATCTGCTGTCGTATGCCGGATTTTCGTTTTAAAATATAAATTTTTAATAATTCTAATAATTATTAAACTAACTCTTTTTTACATATCAATGCAGCTAGCTATTTTGGTGCTACTTAGTTGTTTTGTATTTAATAAGAAAAAAAACGAATAATAAAGAATTGTGACGGAGAATTCGAGTTTTTTTCTCTTTTTTCCGGGATATTTCCGAAATTTTTTTTCAGAACTTGAACAACAGTATCTCAAAGGCGCATACGCAAAGCTTCCTCTCGGGTTTCGAGCGGAAATCCTTTTTTTAGCGTTTTTGAGATCTTTATTTCCATTTTTAACTATTTTTCTAGCTTTCAAGAAGGGAAAGTGGGAGTTCTTAAGTTTAAATCGTTGAAAATCAGAATATTCCGGTATTCTGATCATTTTCAGAACATTTCCGGGGGATACNACGAATTCNAACGTTTTCAAAATCGAACAGACCTAAAATCNAACAGATTCAATTCAAAACAGTCCTTTTTTGAAAAAA